GCAAAAAGTCGAGAGTCGGCAAATGTCATCAGAAACAACAAAGTCAAAATATTTTTATTTTTTAACCACGTTTAACACAATCTATATATATAGCTTTACATAGCCATTCCGTAACAAGTACCAACGGCTGAAATACAAACTTTCCAATAAATATTGCTACAACAGTCAATAATCAGTGGCGGAAATTCACTTTTTCCGGTGTGGGGGGGGGAGGGGGCAAAGCCTCATAAATTTCCGACAAAACTTTGAAATGTCCGACGTACCCCCCCCCCCATTTGCACTCGAAAAGACTGTTTTTAGCCCACTTTTAGATCAAAATTTCCGAAAATTAGTCAATTTTCCGGAAGGTAGGGGGGGGGGGGGCGGCCCACCAAGATTTCCGCCAACGTCAATAATAATAACGTGATAACAAAAACAAAAAAGATTGGATAAGAAAATAATATCGCATTTGTTGCCTCAATCTTGCTAAATGTTTTCACATGTCATTTCATTCTATTAACTGACATACACATAAACTTCGATGAATTTTGACAGCCATCTCCAGGCTTGTAACAAAAATGTCACTTATTCATTAACGTACGTTTATATCAAACGAGAGCGTATTAAGAAATCCACGTTGATCACAATCTAACGATTCATACAATTGTGAATTCATAAATACGAGCCAGTAAAAATAGGCTTCTTTTGTCGTATGTGTGACTCTATCGGGTGGTAATATGTCTCGCACGTGATTGTAAAGTCCTAGTATTTATATGTAGCTTCACATATGAGTAATTTTTCGCGGAAATAGGTGCATGTAAAGCGGGAAGGATGGACAGTAATATATAAGGAAGCGATGAAACTAGTTATTAGATAATAGTTATTTGATTATTGAATGTTGTGGCTAAATTTTTGCGAAAGTTTTTGTTTTATATTGTACTGGATTATTCCTTTGATTGCATGTATATGCCTCTTGTTTACTTTAATTTCAAGAATTTGAGCATATTAAATTATGTTTCGCAAATATTGTTTGCTTTATGTTCCGATAACAGGGAATGAAATTAGTTCAGCCGTCATAGGCGTACGAGCGGGAAAAAACAGGGAGCCAGAAAGAAATTTACCCGACTTTTACCCACTGAATAAAATTTTCCGTGTAACTAAATTTCTAAAATTGTCGTTGGGAAGTAGACAAAAAGATTTTCCTATTTGTCGATTCCTCGTTACTTTTACATATTTCTGGTATTTTCAAATACCATATTGCATATACTGTCTTCTTTTTAAATTTATTTCCCCCAATTTTTGCCCGAATTTATTTTGACTGGGGTGCGGGACTGCCTCCCCCCCCCCTCGCCCGTACGGCTATAATCAGCCGTTGTTACGGATCGGTTATATATTGTGTTAAAAGTATTTTGACTTTGTTGTTTCTGATGACATTTGCCGACTCTCGACTTTTTACTCTCGATCGACTCTCGACTTTTTACTCTCGATCGACTCTCGACTTTTTACTCTCGACTTTTTACTCTCGACTTTTTACTCTCGACTCTCGACTTTTTACTCTCGACTCTCGACTTTTACTCTCGACTCTCGACTTTTACTCTCGACTCTCGACTTTTACTCTCGACTCTCGACCTTTACTCTCGACTCTCGACCCTCGACTTTTAGATACACTCACTAAATTTAGACCGTACAAACTAAATTTAGACCGTACAGTTTATACTGTTTTTCGAAATATAAGATATTCAAGCAAAAGTTCAAATGTTTTAAATACTGTTTTCTCAAAACAGAACATTTTGTGCTTTGAGATAAGACGGCTAAGACCAATTTGATCAGTTAATGTGTTTTTTATGCATAGTGCTTCAGCTGTTGACATATATAGAGCTCAGCGGAAACATATAAATTATAGCATCTGACCAATGAGAATTTCGCGTCACGATTTGAGACGCAGATATTCAAATTCATTAGTCATCGATGCAGGCTCTCAATTCAGCTTGAGAGCCTGTTCGCAGGCTACACCAACACAGAAAACAATTCATGATTATTAATAGACTTAATAGATTACATTGATATCGAAGGAACTAGACTCAGTTCCGAAATATCACATACTCGAACCGATCTGACCGCGCAGCTCAGTTGGCAGAGCATTTGGCTGGTGTTCCAAAAGTTGTAGGTTCGATTCCCACCGTGGTCAGGCATATTTTTTCAAGCTTGCCCGGTGTGGATATACCCCCAGAGTAACATCACAAATATCATTGAATGTCATGTTGAATGTCATGTTGAATGTCATGTTGAATGTCATGTTGAATGTCATGTTGAATGTCATGTTGAATGTCATGTTGATTCTCATGCGTAATTGCGTACTTCACAGTGGTGTGATGTTGCATGAAGACATTTTGCAGGCACATTTTCAAATAATTTGTGTGTTTGCAGGCACGCAAAAAGGTTTTCGAATTATGCAGTTTTTCTATGCATCGTGCCGTATTGATAGTATCGGTATCAGCTCATCCCTAGCACTCTCCCCTGATGAGTAAAATCGTCCACATGGTGTAATACAGGGTAAAATAATAAAGTAAGACGCATCTGGGTGCATTGCCACTTAAACGGTTAAGGTCGATTGAGCAATGTGCCCGCATAGTATTAATGGCACTTTATTTTATTGAAGGTTTTGAGGATTTTTGAATAAATGGCCCATTTTTATATCTGCGTGTAGATACTGTACGTGCTTTCAAGTTGTGCATATATATGTGCGTGTGTGCGTTAAATACTTAGGTCCACTAATTAGGGCTGTATACGCCTGTGAAGAGGCTGTAAAACAAATTTGGCGGCTTTCTACAGGATGACGAACTTGAAGAGAAAATTACAATCATTGAAATATTTATGAAGACTTCACAAGGTAGTACAAGCTGCCCGCGGTGGCTTGTTGATAACAGTAGCCTTTGTAGGGAAGAAGGTAATATTTAAGTTGTATAAATTTTAATAATACATGGCTTGAAAGTAGTCCTAACATTGTGTTAACTGCTTATGACAGTGATGTGGAAAAAACTATATAAATGACATGTACAGTAAAACAGACATAAGCCGGTTTTCCACTAGGCGGAATTTTGTACACGGAGTGGAGAAAGATTCCGCTCCGCGCGCAAAATTCCGCCTAGTGGAAAACCGGCTATAGACAGTGATATCGATATAACAATACAGTTTATATAATATGAGCAGTGAAGTGAAGATGAGGCAGAAATACCTGATGGAGTCATTGACACTGTGTTTAACTGCTCCAGATTTTGTGACTGACAATGAACATCAGTATATTTTAAATGTTGCAACTGGTGAAGTTAGCAGACGACCTATAAGTATATTCCGTACACAGAGGAATTAGCATACCCAGGAATATTTCTTGCATTTCTATGTTCATCATAGTGAAATTTGTAAATCTGAGTTAAGAAGATCTGATCGAAGAGCTGCAATGTGTGTAGAAAATATATTCAAAACAAAGAAACTGCAAATGAAAATTTTACTTGGACAATCTCAAGTCGCTTTGCGAAAATGCCAAGGAATCGTGGCACAATTACTGCTGGCCAACTTAAGCAACCAGGAGCAATATTATAATTTAATATGTGACATTAAAATTTTGTTATAAATTAGTCACAGCATTAAAAATTCGAATTATACTAGGGCTGTTCCAGCCTGCAGGTATAATTTAGGTTATATGAGGGAACGAAGGGAGAAGTATATGAGAATACTAGCGGTATGGCATTACCAATCTGTGCTTCACATCACATTTTAACCCAAAGAAATCTCTGGCAAAAACCCCAACACCCCCCTGATCTGACCCGTCCCATAATCCTCCTGTGGCTTATTTAACCCTGAGATGAACTGGGCGGGTATAAGGGTGGGAATCATATATTTCTCCCTTCGTTCCCTCATATAACCTAAATTATACCTGCAGGCTGGAACAGCCCTAGTATAATTCGAATTATATTTCGGGAACTCCGGTCGAAATTTATGAGAATACTAGCGGTAGAGTTTAACACTACAATGGTGAACCGCCAAAAAGAACTTTATTATTTAGCTCTGTAGATACAATAAGTCTAAAGACCTGTTTACAATTAGTTTAACCCAACACGACCAAAGTTTGGTGTTGATACCATTGGTCTATAATAAAATTGTTTCGGTGAGGTATAATAAATGAAAGACACAACTTAGGTTGGTCCTTCATAATCAGTCTTCTAAATTCAACCGTCATTGAGATGTAATGTTGGAAACAAGCTATCAGACATAACCTTTTGTCATCTGGGAAACAAGTATAAAACGAGTTGTCTTTGTAGTCAACAAGGTGAACGTTAGGGATCTGGGTTTTGGAGGTCGATTGTTTAGAACACCTCTCATCAGGTTAACAACATATGGATGTTGTCCGACTAGATAACCATCGATTCGTGGATGGGTTGATGACAAAGCCGATCTCAGAACATTCATGGTTCTATATTCCAAACCGGAGGCGAGTGAGTCCGCCAAAAAGGTAAGGACGTTGCTCAAAAAGTTGATGAAATTGGATTAATTTGCCTTGTAGAACACCAGCGGCTCCAACGCTGCCAATTAGATTCGTAGGTTTTGCGTGTGGAACTACGAGTGGCTGAAAATGAGTAGTTTGCTAACGTTCGAGATGTGAAATACGCCCAAATGTAGACGTGGGTACATCGGTGAATTAAGGAAGGGTCGGTTGGATCCTTCAAGAGATGTTTGTTGTTTGGTAGCAGGACAGGTTAATTAATGTTCTACCAGAAGACTTAGTAGAAGAGGCCACCAACGCTGAGCTTGCCAAATTGGAGCTATCAAGAAGATCTCTGTCTGGTCCGACAAGACCTTTTGAGGACCATGGGGACCAAGTTGAAGGGAGGGAAAGCATAACCCGCAAGTCCCTTCCAGCTCACCGTGAAGGCATCCCAATGGTGAGCCTCCAGAAACTGCCTGGATTCGAGGTCTGCTTGAATGTCGATCTTCCCTGGAAGGTGGTGGGCTATGACAAATAAGTCTCTCTGCTTGCGCCAATCCCACAGTTATAATGTCAGCTCTAGTAATAGCAACGGGTGGTGCCCCCTTTGTGATTTATGTAAGTAACCGCGGTGGAATTGTCCATGTTCAATGACACTGTCATTGAACGATAGTTATGTTCAGTGACACTGTCATTGAACGATAGTTTTTCAAGAGAGTCTTCATTGATGTGTAACAACTTCTCGGTTTGATAAATGCTGGTGAATGCCCCACCTCTGTTTCGAGGCATCGGAAAAATTGTTACATCCGGGGGAGGCACCGTAATTGGGCTGCCATTGATTGTCATAATATTCTGAAACCACCATTGGATTTCAGTTTTCTGTTTGCATGGAAGTTGAATTTTCGTAATTGTGATCTGAAGTGTGCAGGTTGCGAATAAGCAAAGCTTGAAGAAAACGAAAGTGGAAAGGAGCCTTCCAGATTGCCGGACGATAAGATTCTAGTAACCCCAACAGTTGAGCTATGCTCCTTAATGCAGGTTTCTCGATTTTCAGGATTTGACAACACAATGTTCGCCGTTTCTGCTTTGAACTGATACGTTTTGGTTTTCCAGCAGAACAGAAAGATATGCCTGCTTTAGGCCCAATTTTGTCATGTAATACCCCTGTTGTAGGCAGGTTTTTAGCGAGGAAAGATGTTCCATCTGGAAATGTTAAGTTTCTATGTATTGATTCAGTGAGCTTAGATCTATAACCGATCTCATACCGCCGTCCTTCTTGGGGACTTGGCAAAGGGGACTTTGCAAATTGCCCCCTTCGTTAACAGGTCTGACACGTCCTTGTACATAAATAAGTGTTTCTGACTCTGAACGGACCTGAGTCATTTTTTTTTTTTCAACAGGAACGCAACGAAAAGGAATTTTTAAACCGGCAACAACATATAGAATAAATGGATCTGCTGTCAGAACCTGCCACTGTTCGAAGTGGTGTGGTAATTTGGGGGCCGTTGGAAACGAGACTGGGGAGTACGAGAAAACTGACCCCTGTTGTTTTAAGTATTGTATTTAGTAGACTGAGAGAAACTTCTGCTTGGTTGTTTCGGGTCTTGGTTATAAATTTTGGGGGCCGTAGGAGCCAGATTTTTTGCCAAACCCCGTGATAGCTCGGCTTCCTTAGATGCAATTGAGGGAAAATCGTCTCCAAATAGCCATCGTTGAGCATTTGGCAATGGCTGGTTTGCCAAATCAATTTTTGATTTGTTAATGGATGCAAGTACCTTCTTGCGGCGGAGTACCGATAATTGTGAGTTAGCCGAACCAACTAAACAAAGGGATTGTTCAACAAGCAACTTGAGCTCAGTAGGGCTAACCGAGGGGCATTTCACTCCAAAAAAGCGTACGGGATTTTCGGATTTTTAAAAATCCGCGGATTTTTCCCGGATTTTTTAGCGGATTTTTGAAGAGAAAATGTGTTGGATTTTCCGGATTTGTTTGGATTTTCCGGATTTGTTCGGATTTTTTCCGGATTTTTTGACGAAGCGTACGGGATTTTCGGATTTTTAAACATCCGCGGATTTTTTAGCGGATTTTTCCCGGATTTTTAGCGGATTTTTGAAGAGAAAATCTGCTGGATTTCCCGGATTTGTTCGGATTTTTTCCGGATTTTTTGACGAAGTGTACGCGATTTTTGGAGTGAAATGCCCCTCGGGGCTAACAGGAAGGTTGTTTTCTAAACGGTCATGTAATGTGCATAATGGGCCTGTGATGTTCAACATAGCACGTTGAACAACAGCGAACTCTTTATCTCGCTCCTGCACAAACTTTCTATTTTGATATGAAACATGAGACAACATTGGTGGATCTAGAGTAGGAGCAACGAGGGAATCTACCTGAGGAATAGCTTGTTCCTCCAAAATATCACAAATGTGATCAAAGGATAGTTTCCTTCGAAAATTTTTCTCTAAAAAGTCCTTAAACTCCTGAGATGGAGACCACGAGGTCGTAACAGCTTCGGGGTCGTATAAACCTGGCTGACCTTCGCTAGCGTTGCTGAGTTCAACTGATTGTTGTTTTGAAGAATCAATTCTGTCGCCACAAATATCATCGCTAGTGTTTAGCTGTACGGCAGAGTTTGGTGGCTTAATAGCCTGCACTGATGGCTCAATAGCCTGCTCTGGTGGCTCAATAGCCAAATCCTCAAAATTTTCAGGATTGTCATTTCCCGCCAAAATCGAAAACGTGTCGCCGTCCCGGCAAGGCTCTGGTTGTTTTTCTGAGTGAGAATGTGTCATATTCTCGCTAGTAAAGACATCTTCGAGCTGGGAAATTCTTCTATTACACACCTCCATGTTAGATTTAAGATCTGAAACTGTAGATGAGATGGCCCGAAGCTGGAGAAGCCATGGCATGGTCTGACTGCTCTGTTGAGCTTGAAGACTTTTTAGACTTCGAAGAGCGATGTGTAGAATCGCGTGAATGAGATTTTTTCGCTTGTGGTGACTCGACATTGTCTAAAAATATGCCTGAGTGTCTAAAACATATGAAAAACAATAGGAAAAAGCGTCAAAAAGCAAATATTTTAGCCTACCTGAAGCTTACCTGTTCGCGTGTGAAGCACAAGGTAAAAAAGCCACAGGAGGATTATGGGACGGGTCAGATCAGGGGGGTGTTGGGGTTTTTGCCAGAGATTTCTTTGGGTTAAAATGTGATGTGAAGCACAGATTGGTAATGCCATACCGCTAGTATTCTCATATATTTCGACCGGAGTTCCCGAAATATAATCAGCCTTTCGCATGCTTAATTAATGCCTTCACCTAATTTGCATATTGCTGACATATGCAAATTAGGCAAAGGAAAGGCATTAAGGCGGGGGTTAACCTAACCTGAAGTTCAGGCCCTAATTTGAAATAGGGCCTGACACAAAACCTGTCTAGACCGTGGGACGCCCACATGTTATTTTTAGACACAACATGTAATATGATTGACAAGTGTTGTAGATTTCGTTACACAAAAAAATTATATTCTCATGAACATGTCCGCAGAGTGTGCATTTTGCTTTATAATTAAACTTAAAAATTCAAGGTACTTTTATATAAATAAGATTCAGACAAAGATTTAATTAGTCAGTTCTGTGCACGGCTTGACTGCCAAGCTTTCTCAAGGTCTCAACTTGCTGGACGCGGATATTAGGGAAATACTTTATTAAAACGGGCTAACAACAGCAACAATGAAATTCTCAATCGTACCACGAAGAAGGCGATGTACCTCAGAAAACAATGCCGGTAGGACCTGATATTAAAAATAAGACTTTTGCCGGCGAAGCCAGTTGGCAGAACATCTTGGCTGTCAATAGTCTCCTACGCAGCCTGTTCGCGGGTCCGGGGTTTTCTCCCCACGTACAGGCTGCTTACTGCAGCAACACATTCCATTCCGATTGTTTCAACTTGACCAATCAGGAAACGGCATGACATAGGTTTCCCGCCAAATTCAGTAGTGACTAACTAATTAATTGTTCAGTTCTAAATATATCTCAGTGTTTACTGCTGTTAAAAATGGCATAGTACAAAACATGGACAGGACTGGACAGTTGGACTGGACTGGACTGGACAGTTGGACTGGACTGGACAGTTGGACTGGACTGATTTTTACATTTTCTCTATTGTTGACTTGCATGTCACCCGCCATGTCAGGTGGCATGGCGCAAAAGAATATTTTATCACAGAATAAATATACCATGTCATGTCTATTTTGTGATTTTATCGATGAACATTGTCTGGTGTGTACCAGGAGGAGATTGGTTGCAAGTCAAGAATATAACGTTTTGCACCTGAATTACTTTTGATTTTCGGAAATTGAAATACTTTACCTTCGCCGATGACCTCACATTATAACTGGAGTGAAATCTCTTAAAGCGAAAGAAACCCCAGTAAGGGATCGTTATGTGCAAGATTTTTTCCCTTATTCCATCACCATTGTACGATATTGTTTTGCCACTCTCTCTTTCGCAGCATTTTCTTCAATAGCTTATACTATTTAGATTCTTTAATTAATAATAGTTAACGTTGAGTTTTCTAGCTTCATGCATTGCTTTTAATAATACCTATTGCTATGAGGTATAAGATTTGGTTCAGGGCCTCTTTACGGATGTGTAACTGGAGGGGACATATTTAGCGGGGGACCTGGAGAAGTTCCAGTCGGCAAGTCTGTATCACTGCAGCTACCAGCATATATATGCATGGTTTATCTAATAAGTATATGCCATAGGGCAGCAGATCAAGCCAATTAATATTACCTAGGATTCTGAGACAACCGAGTCGACCACCGAAGGTGCAAGCCTCTAGAGGGGTCTGGGGGCATGCCTCCCAGAACATTTTTAATTTCGTGAAGTCGCATAAGCTATTCCCAGCATTTTTCCAACACGAAATTAACCTTACACTAGGTCTCCAAAAATCAAACCAGCTGATGTTCTGGGACTGGTCTAATCGATCCCTGCAACCATGCTGTTTTGCAACATTTTTTTCCAACCAACCAATCCAACCTTTTTTCCAGGCATTTTTTGTTGTTCAGAATAGCCTTGCAGAAATTTTTTTTTCAAAATCACCCCCCCCCCATCCCCCTCAAAAGTTAAATGGTCGGCCCCTAAGTAAAATAGAATACAATACCAAACATAAACTACTTGTAGCCTGCGGGAGCCTGCTCGGATACGTATGGCCATGGTCGTAGGAAGATCGATATTTTTGGGGGCTCATATTCATATATACATGTTTGCAGACCGTAAAAAAAATCAAATTCAAAAGAAGTAAATGATGCAGAACACAAATATATGAATATGATGAGCTCCTGCCCCCCCCCCCAAAAAATTATCGATCTTTCTACGCCCATGGCCATGCAGACTGAAATATCAAAATTTAATACGTATGCGAGCAGGCTGCCGATAGCACAGACAGATAAGTAGTTTATGTTTGGTATTGTATTATATTCTACTTACTGGGGTTTCTTTCGCTTTAAAAGAGATTTCACTCCAGTTATAAAGTGAGGTCATCGGCGAAGGTAAAGTATTTCAATTTCCGAAAATAACGTAATTCAGGTGTAAAACGTTATATTCTTGACTTGCAACCAATCTCCTCCTGGTACACACCAGACAATGTTCAATGATAAAATAACAAAATAGACATGACATGGTATATTTATTCTGTGATAAAATATTCTTTTGCGCCATGCCACCTGACATGGCGGGTGACATGCAAGTCAACGAGTGTATCTAAAAGTCGAGAGTCGAGAGTAAAGGTCGAGAGTCGAGAGTAAAAGTCGAGAGTAAAAGTCGAGAGTAAAAGTCGAGAGTCGAGAGTAAAAAGTCGAGAGTCGAGAGTAAAAAGTCGAGAGTCGAGAGTAAAAAGTCGAGAGTCGATCGAGAGTAAAAGTCGAGAGTCGATCGAGAGTAAAAAGTCAAGAGTCGGCAAATGTCATCAGAAACAACAAAGTCAAAATCAGTGGCGTAACGGAGGAAGAGGGGGCCCTTAGGCATATTCTGTGTGGGGGGACCCTGTTGTCATTGTTTGACTGAGATATTATATATTTATATTGAATATTTATAGAATGTTCTGCAAAATTCCGTATCTATAATAGTAACAATAACAATAACAGTCTCCAACATATGTAACAACTTTTATGAAAAACTTTTGTTTAATTTGAGATGGCATAAAAAAATCAGCTACCGTCGTCGATGGAGGCTTTATTATGTAGTATTTATTATTATGTAGCTTCACATATGAGCAATTTTTCGCGGAAATAGGTGCATAAAGCGGGAAGGATGGACAGTAATATATAAGGAAGCGATAAAACTAGTTATTAGATAATAGTTATTTGATTATTGAATGTTGTGGCTAAATTTTTGAGAAAGTTTTTGTTTTATATTATACTGGATTATTCCTTTGATTGCAGGACTTTACAATCACGTGCGAGACATATTACCACCCGATAGAGTCACACATACGACAAAAGAATCCTATTTTTACTTGCTCGTATCTATGAATTCACAATTGTGTGAATCGTTAGATTGTGATCAACGTGGATTTCTTAATACGCTCTCGTTTGATATAAACGTACGTTAATAAGTGACATTTTAGTTACAAGCCTGGAGATGGCTGTCAAAATTCAGCGGAGTTTATGTGCATGTCAGTTAGAATGAAATGACATGTGAACAATTAGCAAGATTGAGGCATCAAATGCGATATTATTTTCTTATCCAATCTTTTTTGTTTTTGTTATCACGTTATTATTATTGACAGTGGCGGAAATCTTGGTGGGGCGGGGGGGGGGGGGGGGGTGGCCGCCCCCTCCACCTTCCGGGAAATTGACGAATTTTCGGAAATTTTGATCTAAAAGAGGGCTAAAAACAGTCTTTTCGAATGCAAATGGGTGGGTACGTCGGAAATTTCACAGTTTTGTCACTGATTATTGACGGGTGTCTGTAAAAGCCGGAACCCCACCCGGAACACCCGGAACACCCGGAACCCCACCCGGAACACCCGGAACCCCTCCCGGAACACCCGGAACCCTACCCGGAACACCCGGAACCCTACCCGAAACACCCGGAACCCCATCCGGAACACCCGGAACCCCACCCGGAACACGCTGGAATACGAGCTATGAAGCAACGCACCAACCTCGCAAGCAAGGGCCTCCACACCCGCGGCGGGACGGAGACCCTTGTAAAGGCTGGTCACGTGACCTCCCAGATTCTGGGAGGTAAATCAAATTATACTGAGAGAGGGGTGGTTGAGGAGCGGGTCTGTA